CCTTCACTATAACATCCATCTCCCCGGACCTTCACTAACCTCTCCTCTCATCTTCACCTCCACCTCCGTTCACCTTCACTTCTCCTCACTTCTATCACACAGTTTACCCTCACTAATGCGTTCCTTCCCTTTTATTTAACATTTTTAACATATCTTTTTTATATGAAACCTTCAAGACTTAAGGTTAACGTCCGAAGTTATTCTACCGTGGGGCCCCTCCCCACTCCCCCCCCTCCAGGTCCCCCCCGCCCCTCCCCTCCTCCCCGCCCCTCCCCGCCCCTCCCCACCTCCCCGCCCCTCCCCACCTCCCCGCCCCTCCCCGCCCCTCCACCCTTCCATATCCCGCCCGTCTCACTCATCCTGCCCCAACTTATCAACAAGAAGGCAAAGAAAAAATCTAACTTCCTCAAGATACCTATGTAAGTATCGAGGAGTTTTGAGGAAAGAGGAGTGGTGGAGAGAGAGGGGAAGTGTTGGAGGGTGGTGGAGAGGGAGGGAGGAGAGTGTGGGAAGGAGAGGAAATAGTTGGAGAGGAGGGTGATGGGGAAAGTGTTGGAGTTAAGGAGAAGGAGAAAGAGAAGGGAATGACAGAGTGAAAAAATATTGTAAATGCGAGAGGATGAGAGTGATGGAGGATCCAAGGAGGGAGAAATGAAGGGAGTAAAGATGGAATGGGTGATGGAGGAAGAGGAGAGAGAGGGAGGAAGATGCGAGGCTGGAAAGATTGCAAAGAGGGGGGGGGGGAGAAGTGATTTTACCCCCAATTACAAAAATTGAAAACTTCTTCTCTCTATGAATGTGAGATGAGGAGGGAGGGAGTGAGAGGGGAGATTGATTGATAAAGATTAAGCCACCCAAGAGGTGGCACGGGCATGAATAGCCCGTAAAGAGGGGAGATGTGAGGGAGGGATTGATAGAGTGAAACCTTAAAGAAAACGTGGAGACACTGAGCACATAATTTTTTTTATAAATATACGTACACACACACACACACACGCGCACACACACCCACACACACACACCATCCCGTCATCTCCTATAAGATATAATGCGCTTGAAGTTCATTAAAGAGAGAGAGAATGCATCATTATGCAAATATCAAAGACAAAAACTTGTGTACGAGAAGTGAAACAAGTCAGTGTAGCTGTCTTACAAATATCAGTCGTGGCAGTTCACTAAGTTACTGGTCGTAGGAGATTTTAATCTCCTACGACCAGTAGGAGATTCAGTGAACTTTGTGAACTCTGTGAACTCAAATGAGCTTCAGTGAAGCTCATTTGATTCAGTGAACTCTGAATCAAATGAGCTTCCGAAAAAGAGTATTAAAGGCCACTACCAGTTGAGAGAATCAACCAACAACTTTGGTACTCAACCAAAGGCAGACATTAGTATGCACTGAGATGATGCTCGGAGCCTTCATGTCCTGATCTTTGATGCGAATGTAAGGTGAAAATCAAAGTGGGATGAGAAAAGGACAAAGAACTCCATAGGGAAGAGGGGAGTATGAGAAAATGAGGGAGTTTCTAGGGGGAGCACAGTGTGTGAGGCTACCTGCAAGGGCGTGGTCAACTATCCACTACTACTACCAATACTTTATATTACCACCTCTACGCATGCCACCATAACCACAACTAACAACACTTACCACTCACTATCATATTCGCTACTACCACTATCACCACTAATATTACTACCACCATCGCCACTACCGTCCCTGCCACTACCACCCCCTACCACCACCACCCCACCGTCGCCGCCTCCCCGCGCTACCCAATATTGACATTCATAATTCTTTGTTGAACTTTTCTCGGAGTTGAGTCCCCGGTGCCTTTCACAACCTCCATATTTTTGTGAATATTAACAACTTTTCCATTAATGCCTCCTCGCTCAGATGTCGGGGAAGTTTCCCCGCGGGTGTTTATGAATATTTCTCCCCGCCGGCTGCTTCACAATTCCGGCAAGCTGTCTCCGGAGATGACTTCAAACTGTCAAACTCCTGATGAATATATGAATACAGATTATTTCCTGTACCAAGACCCGGTTCAGGGTGGGGGTGGGGGGGAGATGCGGAGGTTTAATATGGTTGATTTGTATTTTTAGTTTGTTTGTTTACTTTGTTTAAATCAGAAAGTAGTACAAGTGCTTCCACGTATGCAGTTTTGGACACTTTTTTCCTTGCAGAGTGAAGTCACTTTATCTAGAAAACAGAGAGAGAGAGAGAGAGAGAGAGAGAGAGAGAGAGAGAGAGAGAGAGAGAGAGAGAGAGAGAGAGAGAGAGAGAGAGAGAGAGAGAGAGAGAGAGAGAGAGAGAGAGAGAGAGAGAGAGAGAGAGAGAGAGAGAGAGAGAGACAGAGACAGAGAGAGAGAGAGAGAGAGAGAGAGAGAGAGAGAGAGAGAGAGAGAGAGAGAGAGAGAGAGAGAGAGAGAGAGAGAGAGAGAGAGAGAGAGAGAGAGAGAGAGAGAGAGAATAATAATTCGTTAATTCAGTTATATAATTATTATTTAATTCGAACGTAGTAATCTTATGCACAGTTATTGGTGGTAAATGTTGAATCTGGCCAGTGGGAAGGAGGTCCGTCCATTTCAAGCAGGTCAGGTCACTTGAGGTCAAATCACGATAGATGAGGAGATTCATGTCGATTCTGGAAGGTTACAGAAGGTTCAGCGGTGTAAGGCCGGGGTCAAATCACCTCAAAGTGGGCAGTTTATGCCAGATGGAATCGAATCAAGTCTGTTCGAGTAGAATTAATTCAAATGGATTCATTATCCCTCATTTCTCTGAAGCCTAATATTCCGTCCCTGAACAGATCCCAGAAATATATCTCCCTACTTGCTCCTCCCCAGGATATTTCTCCCCAATTTCCCCAGACCTGGAATATATCTATGAAATTTCCCCAGACCAGGAATATATCTCCTCACTTCCTCAATATTGAGAAATATATCACAGTAAGAGCGGCTTACAGTGTTGCCACGTCTTTTGTTTGGGTGAGTTCGGCGAGTGGGTGGGGTTGTGGGAGGGAGGGGTCCTTCCTGGTGCTGGGGATGGTTGGGGGGGTGTTGTGGTGGTGGTGATGGGTGGGTGGGAGGGGGGGGGGCAACAGCTGAGCTACAGCTGATACAACCTGACATCATCGACTGCTTATCACTTTACATCGAGGGCTTTACACCGACCGATCACCACTTCATTCCGACGGATGAACTAAAATCACCCACCCCAGTCACCTCGATCCGCAGCACCCCCTCCTCCACGCCCTTCTTGGAGGAGTGGTTGCTCTTCGATCCCCCTCCTGTCACCTCCTGACCCCCCTATCACTGACCTCCGGATCACAACTGACACCCCTGACCCCCACCAGATCAACCCTTAGCCTTTAACCCCCTAGATAACCCCCTACTCACCCCCTCTCACCCCCCTGATTCCTCCAAATCACCTGTCACCCTCAAGATCCCCCCTGATTCTTCCCAGATTATCCCAGATCACCTCTTACCACTAACCCCAGGATCACCGCTAACCCCTCACACTCCAGGATCACCCCCTAACCCCTTACCAGGGACTAGGCAACATAAGGCTGTCTGGAGCAGATCTACTGATCTGTTTGGCTGACGTTAACATAATGCTTCCAAGACATTTATCTGGGGTAATGGAATATTTCTGCTGATGTGTAGGTGTGGGATGGTGTGTATTGTAGGTGTGGGATGGTGTGTATTGTAGGTGTGGGATGGTGTGTATTGTAGGTGTAGGATGGTGTGTTTTGGGCGTGAGATAGTGTGTTTGATAGTGTATTGCCTTATCTTAATGAACAATTGCTTTACCAGGTATGTAACCACCTAAATATGTCCAATGTATTGAATATTGTATGAACAAAATATTATTAATATTAATAATAAGTACATTACAATACATTGTATTGTACTAATACAATGCATTGTATTATACTAACAGTACAATACATCTTGATTTCATTGAAAATGGGTAGCTACGCTTCGGAAACAAATTATTAAATAGTCAATTCTGGAAAATAAACATCACATGTAGATCTTTATCACAACAATGAGCTGTTAGTTTAGGAGAATGTCCGGAAACCTTTGAGGCATAATATTGGTTCTCTGGCGGGTATAGTGAGCCTTTGTACTGTACTGTACTCACTTCATAACTATACAGTACTCACCACATAACTATAGTACCACATAGCTGTACTGTATGATAACCTGACCTACACGACTGTACCCAACACACTTGACGCACGTGCACATAGGCTATCGTGTCTGCTCATGCTAAAGTGTGAAAATAATACAAAGTAATATATATATATACAAGAGCACAGAAGGAATTATAGTTCCAAACTCTCTACATACTACTACATACGCCTATTAGTGTCAATGCGAGAATATACCATCTATGCAACAAAAAATACAGCGCAATGTACTTGTAAATATTTCAATAAATAAATAAATAATTAGAGTGGAAGTTTAGCTAAAAAGCGAAGCATCATGTTATGCCTTCAAGGTTAGTTCATGGAGCAAAGTGACTCATGCATGAGGTGCCAATAGGTTCTGCTCATTTGTAGCCTATCAAATGTACCCTTATGATCAGTCTTAGCCTGCGTCAGTCAACCAAAAATGCAAGTAGTGGTGATTAATGAGATCAGTAACCCAAGAGCTGCCGCCTCCGCTCTTTCAAAATTGGTCGCAAACTTAAAATTGCAACAAGTGGTGCAACTCAGGACTATCGCGCATGCGCCGTAGTCTACACAGGTTGGTTCATAAACACTCATCTCAAACTTATTATCGTCTCTATTCACTCGATACAGCGCTTGGAATTTCATTCGCATATTGATATCCCAATGTAAATGCATTTTTGGTATGCCACTCCCCGGAGAAGACTTGGTAGATATAGTGATATGTTAAAATAACATCGGGGGTTAGGAGGAGTCGTGTGCGCATGCGTGGTAGCCTGCCTGAGCCCCGCCGTCCACACCATATACAAGTCCTGCAAGGCGAGTATATGGCCAGTTTTAACCGTGTTCCCGTACCTCTAGCGGCCTCTAGTGTCCTCACCGAGTCCTCCAGTGTCATATTTATACGTGGAGGAATGTCTTTTTGTTTTTTTTAAGCGAGTTGAAAAGTGACCGATTCGTGAGGACTGATATTTTTGGGAGTGAGGTTGGGCACTGCAGGCCATGGTAACAGGCTCACCCACCGCCCCACTACACAGCAAATACTATACATAGCTTCTATGTATTTTGGATCATCTAAATATCAAGTAATGTGTAAACATGCTGATAATGCTAAAATTAATTTTTTCAAGTGTCATGAGTTTAAGAATTCCCATATATATATATATATATATATATATATATATATATATATATATATATATATATATATATATATATATATATACATATATATATATATATATATATATATATATATATATAT